TGGGTTTCCTCCATCTGGGGGACGGACTCAGACTATAGAGGGAAGAGGTCTGACATCAGGGTGGGACTCAAAGTAGAGCCGCTGCTCCTCCACATCGAAAGGAACCAGCTGAGGTGGTTCAGGCATCTAGTCAGCTCCTCCTGGACGCCTCCCATGGGAGGAGTCTCCCGGGTCAACCCAGGGCACGATGGAGGGATTACATCTCCAGCCTAGCCAAGGAACTCCTCAGGGTCTCACCTGTGGACACATGAATCAAATACTTTTCACCAACTGTAAATCTCATCTCAGATTCATCAGCCTGTAACATTTTCACTTTTTAAAGCAAATGCAGCAAGTTTAGACCGACAAGTTATCGATAAGGTGTGAAGTTCTTTCTTTCTTCTCTGGATTTGTTCTACCGAGCTGCCTGAAACCAAACAGCCTCTGAACAAGCTGACATCCTTAATGGAAGTAACATCTGAATCAGTAAACAGTCACAGCTGCTCAGTTTGGATTTGGACATTTTTATCACCATCTTGTGATCAGTAAACATCATTTATCATCCAAAAATCTGAGGTTACTGCCGTGCCTTCCCTTCCCTTTCCTCTTGTTCTGTTTCTTCCCACATTGTTGCTTTTGCCCTTCGCTTCTTAGATTTCTTCCTTCCACTCGTTCGTCCTTTCCTGGAGACACGAAACCCAGCGTTGTCCTTCAGGAGGGGACGGGCGTCTTTCTTTGTGTCCGCTGACAGCTCTGATGGAGATCTGCTGAGATGGACGTCATCCTCTGACGGAGACCGTTTGTCTCCACGTTTATCCACTTTGTTTTTTTTATTGTTTGGTTAAAAGACTCAGATTTGTATGTAAAGCAGAAAACGTCACGTTGCCTCGTGTGACCTAAAATTCTTCCCTTTTCCATCCAGAATTAGCTTCAGTCGACTCTTAAAGGTGTGGTTCACTCGTTTAATCCAAACATTTGCAGTGGTCTCTAGTAGGAACGAATGACTTGTGAGTCCGGGGTACAGCTCAGATGTGCCTGAATCAGGACGTAGAATTTAGCTGGAGGAGAACGTAGCTTCAGACGACAGGATCTAGAGTCTTATTTCCTGGTATTTGGACATCTCTCCTCTGATTGGCTAACAGCAACACGATTCTACCACTGACTCTGTCTACTCTGCTATGTTGATGTTTTATCTTCACCAATAACACAAGCCTGGAGGAGTTCTGCTGTGTGGTGGAGCTGCTAATGCTAACGGTTAGCTTCTACTAGCTGAGACGTTCTCTGCTGTTTCCTGGACGCTAAACTAACAACAGCCTTCCCCGTCGTGAGTCCATGAATGTTAGTGACAGGGTGACGTAGATCTGTCAGGATTTTCTATCCTAGAGTTTCACCGTCTGTTTTATACCAGAAGCTACTGCAGGAGACAGGTGTAGGAGACTATTTTCATGTTCAGCCTGCATGAAAAACTGAGAGTGACTGATTATAATCAGAAATAATCATTAAAAATGTGTTTTTTAGTGTTTCACACCTTTAACCATATATATATGTTTTATATAACACATCCGAGTTATGATTATTATTAAAAACTAGATATAATCTTTTTTATCATAAACACAATTACGATGAATGAAAGAGACAGATAAACAGAGACAACTTTAATGAGATACTAGAATTCTTTAAAATGAAATAAAAAACTTCTCCACAGAAGTAAAACCAAACTAAGGAGAAAAGGTTCCACTCAAACACATTTTGGTTCCACGTAAACAGGAAATGACTTTTCTGTTTTGTCTCTAAATCTTTCCTTTAGTCGCTGTTCCAACTTCCTTTGAGGGACCTTTTGGGAAGATTGTTTACCGTGTGAAGGTGGCTATCGACACGCCTCGATTCTCTAAGGGCTACAAAGCCCAGAAGCCTTTCTACGTCCTCAACATGCTCAATCTGAACGAGGTTCCTGACATTGAGGTTGGTGCTTCCTCTACCTGTGCGTCCCTGCGATGCTCACGTTTCACCTCAGTGTTTGTTTTTAAGTAAATGAAGAGCTGCACAGTGAAGAATCTCTAGTTATGCTCCGTCTCATCATCACATTCACGAAACAAACGGCAAACAGTTACGTGTTATAATAGTAAAATAATAAAAAGCATCCTCCGTTTTATTTGAATTTGCCGTCGCCGTACACTTGACTAAACCCTGACTAGGGATGTTCGAATAAAAAGTGAAATATTATTACGTTCCACCGTTATTACCCTAATATCGATAATACACGTCTGAGCCTCAGCGGTACAGTGGTAGAGCTCGTACCGACGTAACACCGCTACACTGGGGAGAGTCACGGTAAAGGAACCAGTAAGCATGCGTTACTGGGGCGTGCCTGCTGTTAGGTGCAGCCCTGATTATCATTCATCGTAATGCTCAGTTTTAATTGAATCCACCTTTTTTTGTGTGGTTGCTGACATTCTACCTGAAACTCGACAGCAAGCGCCCCGGTGTGAACGGGTCACGGCCCTAAATCAGCCCACATGCACTGAACTGGTGCTCAGTTTATGGAAGTAAAGATGGCCGCTACAAATGTTAGTCTTTGTGCAGCAGTTAAATAAAAATCTGGTCAGCAGGATGTCTGTCTTCCTCTAAACGCAGCTTCATCCCTTCCCCAGGCTCAGAATGAGCTCAAATGTCTCTTGTGGGGACGTTGTTGGACGGTATGAATCATGCTCATGATCGTGAGCATTCCCCCCCCCCCGTCTGCCAACTGTTGATGAGATCAGCTGATTTACACCACTCTGCTACAGTCACCTAGCCTAGTGAACTAGACCAAATTCTTGCTTTGCAAAGAATGGTCTAGTTACGCTCCACTGGAACCTCAGCAGCTCCTACCAGGACTCTGGCTAGCCAATCACAGCTCTCTAGAGGGGTTTCAAACACATAAAGAGCTGTGATTGATCCATAATGGTGGGCCAATCATAGTGCTCCATCTGCTTAGTGAACAAATCACAGAGCTTTATCCGCTTTGTGGGCCAATCAGGGCACTCTATATGCCTGGTGGGTGGGATGATGCAACAGAGTGAAACAAGAGAATGTCACATTCATTGTCCAGTGGAATGCGGAGATCATTTGAAAGACAACGGTAGAACCCGCCCCACAACCGAGAGCCGTCAATGGAGCGTGGCCAGACTAAATAATACATTTATTTATTCTGGCTTGCCAGGCTAGCAGTCACTCTCCTTCAGCCACAAACCGCTGTTGCCTCTTACAGCTGATTCATGTTTGCTGCCTTTTCTTCACATTCCTATTCAGAGTTTACAGGTTCTTATGTGAGCTGGAAATCCTTGAAAATGTTAAAATGTGAATCTCACATTGGAAGTCCTTGAAAAGCATTTGAATGTGAAATTTGAAACACAGTAAAACCCCTGTATTTATTAGATGAGCGACTTTGGTACATATGAAACCATTTTTGTTATACTTGATCAAAGGTTCGTATGAAGAACACGACCTAGCATCCAGCTCGTCCTGCTGGTTCCTGCTGCAGGGTTCTGCTGGAGTTCATAGAGGGTAAACATGAGTGTTGCACATGCAAACGCGGCCACCTGCACATATTTATTAATGTGCTTTGCACCATAAGAAAGGAGATCAGAGATTGTAGGGAGTGCAAATCACGTTTTGGAACCCCCCCCCCCCCCCCAACCCTAACCAGCGCAGCATCCACATCTGTCAGAGCGGCGTTCTCCACATTTACCGGGTAGGAAACTTTGGTCCACCTTCATGTGGTGCTGCAGGACTGAGCGCTGGAGTTCTAACCTTAGACCGAACCCGAACCGAATCAGCCCGATCGGTTCTGTTGGATTTGCCCCCCCCCCACACCACCCCACCCCCCGCTTCCGGGTCTTTTTGGCCCTCGGACCATTATAGTTGAGGACCCCTGTTCTACAGGTTATTGTTCAGCCTTCTGATGCACACACACACACACACACACACACACACACACACACACACTTGCTGACGCTCCGTGTGTGTTGTTATTTCTGCAGTGAGACAAACTCACCTCACACCGTCCAGAGTTTGTTCTTTAAAGCTTCTATTAAATTCACCGTGTTGACGTGTTTAACACGTTTCCTCTACGCTGCAGGAGTTAACGTTTACATCACGGAGTAAAAGTTCAGCAGATCACGTTTATTTTTCACGGAGATCGGCCGCGGGTTCCTCTTCTGGTCGGCATTCCAGGAATCGAAATAAAAAACTTTGAATGATTCCGGGAAAAACTAACATTTGGTCCCGGTTCCAATCGACGCTCGATGCCCAACCCTACATAAACATGCCTGATGTCTTTTTTTCCCATCAGAGTCCGAGTTACGCTGTCACCACCAAGAAGTTCAGCTACCTGCTGGTGAAGACGGGGACCCTGATGCTGAAAACCCGCAGTGACCTGAAGGGCTACGTCCCAGGTCAGGTCATCAAGTTAGCCACTGAGATCCACAACAAGTCCGGGAAGGACACTGGATGTGTCCTGGCTAGTCTCATTCAGGTAGGAGTCGTTTGGTTTTAAACTCCTTTCATTGGATGTTTTTGAATCTTGGTGTTTCTCCTCTCTAGAAAGTGACCTACAAAACCAAGCGGGCCATCTTTGACCTGCGAACCATCGCGGAGGTGGAGGGGGCCGGAGTGAAGGCTGGAAAACACGCAGAGTGGAGGGAACAGATCATCGTCCCTCCTCTCCCTCAGTCTGTGCTGGCTGGCTGCAGCCTCATAGACGTGGAATACTTCATCCAGGTCAGACTGAGCGTTAGAGAACCGTTTAGATGGGAAAAGCTGTTGCAGCTGGAGGTTTTCCCCTCAGCTGGTTGTGGTTAATTTGTCAGACCTCCTGTCCATGTGCTTGTAAAAACATCCTTCATACAGTATTGATTCCGCCTGCATTGAAGCAGCTGAATAATTGATGCACACACTCACGAGTCGCGTCTGTTACCATAATAGTCAGGGGGAATATTTTGGTTGCTTTCAGCAGCATCTGTCCTGCAGGATGCGTGGGTTAGGGTGCATGGATAGCTGTGAAAAGCTCCTAGTCTGCTTATGGAAACCAAACATGATCATAAAAAGAGGGAATGAATCAACTAGAGCAAGAAAAGAAATCATCTCAATTATTTTAGTCAGTATTGAGACAGTGATTCATTACAGTTACTGTTGTTGGTAAACACTTCATTTCATAACAATGTCAAAATATTGGAAATCACTTTAGGTTGCTAACATCACAGATCTCCTAGCACGCAGGCTTTAGCTTTAAAGGGCCATCATGGAAGTGTGACAGCCAAAACATGTATAGAAATAATAAATGTCTTCTTCATACGTTCTCCTGCAATGCCCTGGTCCTGTAGAATGAGCCCTGGCATTTTTACTGTGATTGCCTGTTTTTCTGTAAAATCACAGAAAAAGAGAGATGCTCGGGTCGAGCAGGCTGCTTCATGCGCGTTCACGCTCAGGCATCGCCCGTAGCATTTGCTATCCGTAGCTTTAGCAGCAGAGAGAGAGGCAGTGCCACTTTGTCGCTGTTCCTAACGCCTAGTGACAAAGCTAGCTACATTTCTGAGGACCCTTAGCTACTTTCTGTAGAACTTTCTTCTAGATATTTCCTGCAAATTAGCAACAAAATAGCCATTTTCACTCCGAACCGTTCTTTGGTTTGACATTCTTTCAGCTGTCATCAAGGATATAAATGTTACAGATACTGTGAATGTTACTAGAGTGTAGCTCACCTAGTAAGATGTCTGACTCTCATGCAGAAGACCTGGGTTTGATTCTGGATGTGAACATAGTTTATTTAGAGTTTATTTTTTACATTAATGGTATTTTTTTTACATTAAGATGCCCAAATTTTTATTTGAGACTCGCCGAACGGCATTGAATTCACAGATAAAAAAGATGTGGGTTCAACTTTCATTTTGGAACAATTTTTCAAGAAGGGAAGGGAATGATCTGAGCATGCAGGAGGACTGGCCCATCATAAACCTTTGTCGCTGTGCTGTAGAGAAAGGTACAGAACCACATTATTTAATTAATTAGCTGCGTGTTCTCCTGTCCTCTGTCCTCCGGACCACACACACACACACACACACACACACACACACACACACACACACACACACACACACAGGACTGTCTCAGCTGTTATTTTCGTTAAGGAGTGTGCACGTACAGCATGCGCGCCTCGTGCACAAGACTACTATTGAAGCTGCTGTTACACTTTTGGCCTGAGGGGGCGATCGCGAGCATAAAAATTCAAAAGTCCGTAAAGTCCCTTTAATCAATGATTACTTTGTAATATAGATGAGCTACACAGCAGAGCGGGGGGGTCATAATTTTAAATAATGGGGTTTACTTTTTAACTGGCGTCTGATACCGCCAGTGTTTCCTCATTCTTGAGCCGTCTTTAAAAGAACACAACAAAACGTTTATGTTTATGTATTTAGCAGACGCTTTTGTCCAAAGCGACTTACAAGTGATAATCAGCATGTTGCCCTTGAGGCTAACAACAACAATAACAACAACAACAACTTGACATCAATCATGGAGAGGAGGGAACAAGGAGTGGACAGTAGAGTGGGGACGGGTTTAGAAGATGCTCTCTGAAGAGCAGGGTCTTCAGGAATTTCTTGACAATTGAAAAGGAAGCTCCTATTCTTGTAGTGCTTGGTAGGTCATTCCACATTTGTGGAACGATGCATGAGAAGAGTCTGGATTGTCCTGAGCGTGGTGTAGGCACTGCTAGCCGACAATCCTGTGATGACCGGAGCGGCCAGGCCGAGACGTAAGCCTTTGCAAGAGGATTCAGGTAGATGGGAGCCGTACCATCTCGGACTTTGTATGCTAGTGTTAGCAATTTGAATTTGATGCGTGCTGCTAGCGGTAGCCAGTGGAGCTCAATGAACAGAGGGGTGACGTGTGCTCTTTTAGGCTGGTTGAAGACCAGACGCGCCGCTGCGTTCTGGACCATTTATAGAGGTCTCATAGTACAGCCTGGAAGACCAGTTAGAAGGGCGTTGCAGTAGTCGAGGCGGGAGATGACAGTAGATTGCACCAGGAGCTGGGTGGCATGTTGTGTTAGGTATGGTCTGATCTTTCGTATGTTATACAGCGCAAAGCGGCATGAACGAGCAACAGAGGCAACTTGATCTCCTACACCTGTCTCCTGCAGTAGCTTCTGATAGAAAACAGACGGTGAAACTCTAGGATAGAAAATCCTGACAGATCTATGTCACACGGTCACTAAGATTCATGGACTCACCCATCTGGACTCATGACGGGGAAGGCTGTTGTTGGTTTAGCGTCCAGGAAACAGCAGAGAACGTCTCAGCTAGTAGAAGCTAACATTAGTTTTAGCAACTCCACCACACAGCAGAACTCCTCCAGGCTTGTTTGTGGAGGTAAAACATCAACGATGCAGAGCAGAGTCAGTGGTAGACATGTGCTGATGTTAGCCAATCAGAGGTGAGGTGTCCAAATATCAGGAAATAAGACTCTTATACTTTCTCCTCCAGCTGACTTCTCTGTACCACACACACACACACACACACACACACACACACACACACACACCCACACACACACACAGCAGATCTATTAAAAATATGAGTGAAGGGCATTTCCAAAGTTTATATGTTCTAAACAAAATGTGACTTTTCTACCACTTGCTTAAAAATTCTGGTGAATCTTTCTTTCTTCACGAGTCTCTGTTTATTTTCCAGGTGTCTCTAAAATCTCCGGAAGCAGCCGTCACTCTGCCCATCGTCATCGGGAACATCCCTTTGAACTTGTCCCCCTCCGTGCCTGTCCCCACCAGTCCAGGGCCCTCACTGGTACCCGGCCCTGCAGCGGCGACACCGAGTGCTCCGCCAGTGGAGGACGGCCCAGAAGACGAACTGTGCGCGGGGGGGTTTGCTAACGAAGAGATCCCCACCAAAAGTCACTCCCAGCAGGACCCGCTGATGCAGCCGGTCACCATGTCTCCCAGCGCCTTCAGCCACGCGCCGGGAGCAGCGCTGCCACCCGGCCACAGGCGACCCGAAACTTCCGCTCCGTTGTTCTGCCTGTCCACAGGAGCGACGATACCTTTCTTCACGGAGGGAAATGTGACTCCAATCCCCACCTCCTGTTCTCTCATTCTCCCTCCAGAATACAGCTGCTGTGACTATCCCCAAGGTAAGAAAACCCAACAAGCCTCTGCTCAAAGAGGTACTGGCAGTTTCCCCCAGAAAACGAGTTAAGCCCGGCGGATTCGGCCGTCGTCGGGGGCGGTCACGTCACGCGCTCCGTCCCACAGCGCTCCTCCGTTAGAGCGGGGGTGAGGTGGTTGCACACGTTCCGCTCTTGTTTCTCACCAGTATCAGCTGATGGAGGGCTCTAGTTTCGATGCGCCATTGGTGTCAGCGGACACGGTAGGGTCGGGGAGGGGGGCGGGGCATGACGTTTAGCCTGGCGGGTGGCCAAGCAAAGCCTGACTGGGTTAGTAAAAACTAAACTTCAGGGTGTTTAGGATCAAATCTCTTCAAATATTTATCTCCTTTGGTGTGTTAAAGCTCAGTTTCCCTCCGCTTACCGTCAGCAGCTGCTTTACGCGTCAGTCCACCTAAGTGGTCAAACGCGTTTCACGCTCATTCAACGTTTTATTCAAATCTGTAAACTAATCTGAGAATTTAATCCTGATGCCTGTGCTGTCGACCTGTTGGGAGGCAAAGAGGAAGCAGCCTCTTTGTGTGTGTGTGTGTGTGTGTGTGTGTGTGTGTGTGTGTGTGTGTGTGTGTGTGTGTGTGTGTGTGTGTGTTTGTGTGTGTAAACAAGCTAACTAACACACTCAGAGAAACAAACCGTTTTTATTTCCTACATTATCACAACGACAGTTACATTACAGGTAGAGGCTCTGTAGGAGCGTTAGCGGTGGTTGTCATGGTGATATAATTCATGAAGGATCTGAATGCGTCGACGGTCGTAGCATCGTTATGTTCTGTCTAACACAGGAACAGAGAGTGTGTTTCCGCCCGGACCGTTTTAGATGTGACACCGATGGCTTTAGCGTGTTTTCCTGATTCCTGCTGCTGCTTGCCTTCCCGGCCAGTTTCAGAAACCGGATTTTAATAGAAATGTAAGTCAGATTAAAGGGATGTGAAGTTTGATGTTTAGAAACAGCTTTTCACCAGGTAGCCAAACAGGCGCACACACCTCTACGTCCAAAACCACGTCAGTAATGTTGTTGACATCACGTCCTTCTGTTGTTGCAGAGCCGCCTCCCACCTACGAGGAGAGCTGCAGTAGTGTGAACTCCAGTTTTACTGCTGGACAGTAGAAGAAGCAGGCGGTCGACCATCGTGGCCACGAACACCCTCACATCTGCCTGCCCCCCCTCCACAAACTAGATCCGGATGCTGGATGGAGGAGGACGGACGACGACTCCACCCTGCGAGCGGCGTAAAGCTCTTCTCTGATGAATAAAAGGGATTTTTCTTATTTGAATAGGTTAGGTTTCACCTGGCTAGCGTCAGACGTGTGGCCAACATCACTGTGCCTATTGTGGGTCCTCGCTCAGCGCTTAGGGATGAGTAGGAGGTTGCTGGATGTTTGTTTGGTTTCATTTAGCAGCTCGTTGCATCTGTGAGGCCTTTAGATAAAAATCTAGCCACTGATTAATGTAGAAGACACCTTTATTTACCTGATTCACCTGTTGGTCTGGGGTCCTCACGCTAGGTGGACATGCAGCTACAGGTGCTGATTCTTCTGCCCAGCTGGAGTCATGTGACCTGTCCAATAGCAGGATGATGCAGAAAGTATCCGGTCGAACCGGAAAAGGAGCCTGAATCTTCTGGTCTGGAAGAGGATTCAGTGGTTGTGACATGGTGGTCTTTAAAATCAGGAGTTGCTGGTAAAATGCCCTAAACCGTTAAGAGTTTTGTGATTCTTTTCTGTCCCAGCAGTCGGACGTTTTATGCATCAACCGTTATCCGGTTTTTAAATAATAGTTTTCCATGAGCTTTGGCTGTTTTTCACTCGTTTTCAGCCCGGACCTGACAACGTTCCAGCACAAGTTTGTCTTTTTATCTGTAAGGATTGTTTTTGTCTAAGGAAACAAGTCGCTCCAGTTTCTTAGTCGTATTCATGAGAAGTACCATCAATATCGCAGTCAGACAGAAAATAGGATTTTAGCTTCAGTGAGGTTATTTTTGGCAAGGCAACTTTATTTATACAGTATAGCACATTTCACACACAAAGGCTTTTCAATCGGAGCAAGAATATTCAAATTCACACGACAGAAAATCCATCCATCCATTTTCATCCGCTTATCCGGAGTCGGGTTGCGGGGGCAGCAGACTAAGTCGAGAGGCCCAGACTTCCCTCTCCCCAGCCACTCGGGCCAGCTCCTCCGGGGGAATCCCAAGGTGTTCCCTGGCCAGGTGAGAGACATAGTCCCTCCACCGTGTCCTGGGTCTACCTTTAGGCCTCCTCCCGGTTGGACGTGTCTGGAAAACCTCACCAGGGAGGTGTCCAGGAGGCATACTGACCAGATGCCTGAGCCACCTCAACTGGCTCCTCTCGATGTGGAGGAGCAGCGGGTCTACTCCGAGCCCCTCCCAGATGACGGAGCTTCTCACCCTATCTCTGAGGGAGAGCCCAGCCACCCTGTGGAGAAAACTCATTTTGGCCACTTGTATCCGTGATCTCGTTCTTTCGGTCACTACCCAAAGCTCATGACCATAGGTGAGGGTAGGAACGTAGATCCACCGGTAAATTGAGAGCTTCACCTTCTGACTCAGCTCTCTCTTGACCACGACAGACCGGTACAACGCCCGCATCCCTGCAGATGCAGCACCAACCCACCTATCCATCTCACGCTCCAGTTTTCCCTCACTCACAGATTTTCTTTTTCCCTCAGAACAATGTAAAATTGATCTATTTCAATCAACATAGCCCCGCTTATGGAGGGCGACACCCGGGTAAGCAGGGGGATCCAGAAGAAGAGAAATTGTGGTGTGGGGGGGCCCATCTAATATTATTTTGTCCCAGGGCCCAGGAGAGGCTGTCAGCAGCCCTGCTCCCCTGAGTTCAGGAGCTTTTTTATGTCTGGAGCACAAACAAACAACACATGAGCTCTTTTCCTGAAGGTGTTAGGATGCAAGAACTGAAACTGAAGGAAAAACAGCCGAAGTCCAAAGAAAACCTGAAGGATCGATCAAGCCCGCCTAAAAGCATGACAAAGGTGTCTGGCAATTAGGAGGGAAAGCGTGAAGAAACGGGTCACATCAGTCACGAGCGTTAAACTTGATTTGTTTTGCCTAATTATTTTACATTATTTACATTTTCACTCTGAAAATAAAAATAGAAACGGATGTTTTCTCTCTACTGCCACCTGGTGTTGGTTTATATAAGTAAGAACTTTATATCTAAGGCTCTTTGTTTTAAAATCTGCTATTTTTTGCTGCAAGACAGGATGTTTGAGCGCCCTCCTGTGGTCAGGGCTGGTAAAGGTTTGACCTCAACTGGGTTTTAAGAGCAGAACTGGAACAGAATCAGCCATTTCAAAATGAACTGGGCCCTGGCCTCCATCATGCATCACGTCTGCTGTGGAAACTAGCATCAAATCAAAGTCCGCTGTGATTCAAAATCATTATGTGTCTGGATCACACCGAGGGTCATTTCTGTTAACTGTGTGTGTGTGTGTGTGTCATAGAGCTGTAAAGTAGAAAGAACTAGATTCCATGAGCTGATCCGAGTCATTTGCACTCTACTTTTCCAAATCAGTCGCTGGTGTTAGTGTCTGTTAGTTTTATCTTCTGTGTATCGTTGGCGTTTAAATGTGACCTCTGCAAACTTCTACTCCAGTTGTTTATGTTTGCTATTTTTGAGGTTTTGTTTTGCACAAAATAGTTTTCTCTAAAAGGTGAAAACAAGTCAGCGCTGTGATTGGAGTATTTTGTTTTCTACTTCATCCCTCAGAGTGTTCCAGGAAGCATTCCTTCTCCCCTTGAATGTGCAAAACTAAAACTTCTGAGATCCAAAAGCACAACTGCTGCATTGAATGTTTAGTTTTAATATTGTTGATCAGCGATCATTTCAAATTCAGTGAAATCCAGGCAGATGTTAGTTTTGAATTCAGTTTGCCTCATTTTCATGGATTTTGTTTGCCTGCGTGCACGTGTGTGTGTGCACGTGCGTCAAATGAACATTAATGTGACTTCAAGCCTTAAACACCTGGATTTCTGACCTTAACACGACCTGTTGAGCTCAGAGTTCCTTCAGTGGCCGTGCCAAGTGCACTTGATGATTTCAGATGTAGCTTCAGAACACAGTGAGACACTGGACCTTAGACTTTTTAAACTTTGTTTTTATTCATGTTTTAGAAAATATGTGCAATCCTTCACATTTTTAAAGTGCTGCAGCAGCTCCAGGAAGTTGTTTCTCAGCTGTTTTTGTTTATTTCTTCACCAAAAGGTACTAAAGCTTTATGAAGATCTGAACTTCTGTTAGTTCTCTTTATTCCTCCCCTCCTAACATGTTGATGAGTGCTATCTGGTTTAGTATTTTTCTACTGCTACGTTTACAGGTGCAGGGTGAATATAATGATAGAAGCACCTCAAACATGTCGTGTAATTAATGATGCAGACTTAAAGTTGTACAGTAAAGTAAGATAATAAAAACAGTACATTTGTATTTGTAAGATCTGATTCTGAATATTTTTGCCTGTAAATGCCGATGGCTTTTCCGAGCTTCCTGGGAATCAAACCGGAATTACACGAAGTATACTCGGGCTTTTCCGTTCGTCACGTGAGTCGGCCACTTCTCAATATGGCGGCAACCCATAGCCTCCAAATCCAGACGTAGCGTGCGCTTAACTCCGACAGATAGCTTTATTTTCCAGCCGACCTGCCTGTTGTTGGCTAGTAGGCTAGTATCCAGCAGCGGGTTCATATATATTTATTTATTTTTATATTTAGTCCTGCTGGGGTTTTGACGTGTCGAGGATTTTGTGACGGGTAAACTCCATTAACCATCATGCTTTGTGTGAAGTCACGAGGAAATCTGCTGAACTGGCTGTTGCTACCAGGGTCGCTACCTGTGCCGTTGCTGCTGCAGCACATTCACGCAACCTGATGACAACAATCGTCAGCAGGCGTGATGGGACTTGAACTCCACGCTCCGTGAAACTTTCGTATTTTAGGGTTTGTTCAGCACTTTCGTCACGATGCAGGTAAGGGTTCTGTTTGTAGTTTTATTCATTTACCTACAAATGCTGTGTGATTATTGAAGTTGCGAGTGTATTTTCCTGCGGACACACGATTTCTTCTCAGGGTCAAAATTATTTTAAAACATGCAAACATGGAAGCTATGTGCTCTGACTTGTAGCGCTGCTAGTTTAACTGTCCGTTAAAAACTTATGAAACTTATAAAAACAGATTTAAGCAATCAGTTCACACGTCTACCTTTGTTTTAAAGTGGTTCATATATTAGAAAAACACTCAAACAAAAGCACTAAAACATCTACTGTTACCATTTAGGGAGGAATCCGATTTATAAATGTGCCCCCCCCCCCCCCCCCCCCATACATTAGTTATTTAACAGTAAATCGGTCAACATTTGGTTAACTAAATACAGAAAAATGCTATTTTTATTTTTTCTTCATTTCATGTTTCTGAAAAAAAACATGATTTTTTTTTTACTCTTTCAGTCCAGTTCTTGTGTCTGAATAATTGTGAACGAGTGTTGTTTTAATAGTTTATGTGTGAGTGTTGTTTTAATTAGGGCTGGGGGTAAACGATTATTTTTAAAACGATTATTCTGACGATTATTTTATCGAATAGTCGACTATTCTAATGACTATGTAGAAAATTAGTGCAATGAATATTTTTCTATTGCACAATTAACAAAAACCAGAAAATCTCAAATGAATTCCTCAAAAAAATTGATAAATTCTTACTGTAAGAGATTAAACACTACAGGCCTTCCATTTTGTATAACACTGCTTTTATTGTGTTGTGGTTGGTTATGTTCTGGTGACGTGTAGAACTTGGGAGTGCAGGCTGCTGCCTGAGAGGTGGTTGGAGACGGAGTGTCTCCATACTGCTTTGTTTTGGTCACTTATGAGCGTGAGGCGAGTGGTGTTACGACCCTTCCTGGGGAGTTTGGCTCGTGTGCAAAAAGGAAGGGACAATAACGGGATTTAAAAGTTAAAATGATGATCAGGTTTATTTACAACTACAAAAAAACATAAATCTTTCCATCCACAGGTTGGGAGTAATAAAACTAATTCTGCCTGTGGGGAATTAAAACAAAAGTACAAATAACTAGGCATGTCCCGCTGGGCAAAGATTACAGGGTTCTGGACCAAAATAAGGATCTCCAAAGGTTCAAACTCTAAACTGGGCGGTTAAACCAAACTCACGGTGATATTTTACACTAAACCGAAAACCCACAACACTCTAAATGTAATAAAAGGGAGATCTGCACCACAAAAAAGATGAACTCTAAACCAAAACGTAACAGCTTATCCAAACGCAAGAAGCTGTTGGCGAAAATGCTAACAGTAGCTTTACCAACGTTAAGTTCAAGTTACCAAGTTTAAATAAACCAAAAACACCCAGCAGCAAACAGACCAGCACGGAGGAGAGACTGCTACCACCAAAACAGCTCTCCTCATGTCTGAAAGAAGCTCCTTTATGAAGGGAGAAACGCTCCCGGTGATGTCCTACATCTGCTATAGAGACGAAGCAGCGCATCTGACCACGGAAGTTGTTGTCCGTTGCCGGGAGACGAAGGTGGGCAAAACAGGAAAGGAACCTAGTAGCGGACGGACGTTGTTCCGGGTCTTCGGTATTTGGCGGAGATGTTAGTGAAGGCGGAGAAGAGGGCGAACTAGAGGAAAAACAGGCAGATTCCTCCTCTGTTTACAAACTCCTGGGGATGCAACAAGTGGGCGCGGTGCGTCGACTTCCGGATCTGACGTCGACAATTTTTTAGAATCGAGCCATCGACGTCGTCGAGGCTTCGCTACAGCCCTAGTTTTAATCAACTTAATAGTGATTTATGAGTCTTTCTGGTATTTAATAAGCCTATAAATCTGCTGAATGAGCCAGTATTGCGTCTGTAGTTTATAATAAATCTTCTTTAAAATGACATTTGTTATTAAAATAGTTAGCTTTAATTAAAATGTTGTTTTTGTTGCATCCACCATTTTTGTCATTTTGCTTCTTTATTTGTTTTTATGTTTCAGAGGTCTGAACAATACAAGAATGTTATTTTACTGAGAAATAAAACTGTTTTTTCTGCTGAGTTTTCAGCTCTTAAGGAGACATTTTATTGGTGCCAAATGACTCTTCATACTTTTAAGGTAGATTAGTTTTTTTTCCAGATTCAGTTAGAAAATGAACAGATGATGTCTTGGTGACAAGCTGCTGTTAAAGTCTATTTTAAACCAGTTCTTTACAATTGTATCTGTCATTTGTTGACAACACTCTGTATTTATCAGCTTTTTTTAATGCCTGAAGGATTTCTAGGTCTGATACAGGAGGCTTAAGCAAAAACATTCCTCTTAAACTGGTCAAGTAAACGGCCTGGTAACGGGTTAAAGTCTGGAGGAAAAGAAGAATCAACTCAAGGCCAATTTACAAGACTTGCAGTAAGCCTGGCTTCTTGGATCCAAAATGAAAGTATTTGTGTCTGACTCGTGCTCCTGATGAGTGTGAAAGTAGAGCAGAGATGGCTGAAAGGACAATAAAGTAGAAGCGCTCCACCGCGGCCCTGAGCCAAACGCAAACACTGACGGTGGAAATCTGAGACGTCTGTTTGTGTTTGCATGTTGTTTACAGTGGAAGCTCTAATGCCTGTTTAATGTCTCGGTGAACCCCTGGAGAGTAATTACCTGGTCTTATCACCTGCTGAAGACGAGCGTATAATTGTAATCCTGCGTGGTTTTGGGTTGGCTTTTTGACTCGGTCTGTTTTTAGCTTTTATCTCAACATCTTCTGCTCTGTTATTGTGGATCTTGTGACTTAACTCTAATAGAGTTGTTTCTGACTTCAGCCCTCGACTCTTATCTGAACTTAAAATCTTATTTTGATTTTTAGGGGAACTGAAACAAAATTAAATTGAGTTCTCCTATCTTCTCGTATCTTCCTGTGGTGGCGGTTCTTCCTCTTTCTGGTCATTTGTGGAACAGATAATTATTAGAACTCACCCAGATTTTTCCAGGCGTTAAGGGGAGTTAAGACGGGGCTCTAGATCAGTTAAGCAGCAGAAAAACTCCAAACGTTATTTTTCTGTGAAACGTCAGAGACCCTGGGGTCATGGCGGAGCTGTTTCGGGCTCTAACCAGTGAGCAGCTGGAGACTAGCACTTGTGTCTGGACAGGTGGTGATTTACCCAGGCAGGCCCATAGCTGGACAGCAGACTGATTACCACACACACAAAGCACCCTTCAGTCCCACGTCTACTCCAGCAGAGGACAAAGTGTCCCTCTGTCGGACAACACTTGTTTATTTGTAAGACAAGATCTGCTGAGTAGATTGCTGTTCAAGGTTAAATGATTGTGTTTCTGTCGATAAAATATTAAACATATTTGTGCAAGAAGAAAAGGCTGCTTCCTGATCAGTTCTGCTATGAGTGACAGTCGGAAATCATCCTAAATGTTTAGATTTTCCCTCCATTTCTGCCTTTGGGTCATTTTTCTTTCTAATTAGTAGGGATGTAGGAAAGTGTCAATCCACTGAAAATCACAAAATGTTGTGTTATGTTTCTGAATCCGTGTTTAAAAGCAGTCTGTTGATTTTTTTTTTTTATTGAGATCGTACTGTGGTGTAGTTCAAACTCCTGCTGCTAGGTGGCAGCAGGATTATTTTTATTCTAACAGAACTCCATATCTGGCTAGATGGGTCCTAAAAGCTTCCAGCCTGAGTTTTCACACCAAACTAGTCCATAAGCATCTTCAGATATCATCTGGCTTCATTATCGTGTATGGTGATGTATATCGCATCGCCACATTTTTGCTAAGACACGCTTTTTATGATCATTATTGGACCAAGAGTGATCCAAAGGCTAAGATGTGTTCTAGTGGCATCACTGATGCGGTCCATGTAGCGAGGACTGTCCAGAGCAGCGTTTCCCAACCCTGGTGCTCAGGGCACACATGTTTTCAATGTCTCTGCTTCAGCACGCCTGATTTCCATGAACTGCTCAGGAGGACATCAGGTGCTGCAGATGCCTGCTAATCACTCATTCGTTTAAGTCAGGTGTTTAAAAGGACAACATGGAAAACATGCAGGACAGTGGGTCCAGAGGAGCAGGGTTGGGAAACACTGGACCAGATCTTTACATCGGGGAATCTAAACAACAATTACACAAGAGCATGGCACAGCACAGGAGAGCCACCTCTTCAGGTCAAGACTCTGCAGTCCACCTACACCTGAAGGACAAGGGACACACCTTTGAAGGTGACAAAGTCCACATTCTGGACAGAGAAGATAGATGGTTTGAGAGAGGAGTAAAAGCTATCTATGTCAAACATGAAAAACCCCACTTTAAAAAGGGAGGGGCTTAGATTTCACCTTTCCAGTACCTATAATGCTGCTTCAGACCAGGCCACACCTTCCTAATCAACACGACTACTCCCTCACAATAGAGGGTAACGACTCATCAGGGGTAGAGAAGAGGGGTATTCAGAGTAGTATCTGCTCATTAACTTATTAGCTGCCAGCGTTTCTCACCATTTTCACTGTTTTTTTTAAAGTCACAGAAAGTTGCACGCTAGGATGATGTCGACGCCAAAACAAAGCGAAGACTCACCTCTTACATCAGGAAGAATCCGCGCGTTTCGAGCGTTATCCGTTCTTTCATAATCTGTTGTTGAATTGTGATCGGCAGAAGCTTTTCCGGTTCGCGCCTCACTTTTTTTACAGCAGCGGCCCAAAACGATCTCCTAACACATGGATGTTCTGCTTCCTGATCACGTGATGTGTGACGTACGTGGATGAAGATCGGCTTTAGAGCTGGGATGTTTGTTCTCACGATGCGGGGGCTCGTCCGACGCCCACACAGGAAAAACATGCAAATTCAATTCAATTCAATTCAAGTTTATTTATAAAGCGCCAAATCACGACAAGAGTCGTCTCAAGGCACTTCACATAATAAACATTCCAATTCACAGTTCATTAAGCCAATCAGAAATAATGTGTCCTATATAAGGAACCCAGCAAATTGCATCAAGTCACTGACTAGTGTCAGTGACTACAGCAATCCTCATACTAAGCAAGCATGCAGCGACAGTGGAGAGGAAAACTCCCTTTTAACAGGAAGAAACCTCCAGAGAATCCTGGCTCAGTATAAGCAGCCATCCTCCACGACTCACTGGGGATCGAGAAGACAGAGCAGGCACACACACACACACACACACACACACACACACACACACACACACACACACACACACACACACACACACACACACACACACACACACACAAGTAATGTGTCTACAGTTACATTGTGATTTCTTAGTAAATATTCTATTTGGTGAAAGATAAACTATTGTATTTATCCTAGTGGATCTATAATTAAACGGATAAACTTTCGTCGTCACTGGCAGTGAATGAGTTAAACAACAAGACAGTTACAGCTTATAAACTTGACTCTCACATATTCCAGTCAGAATTGACAAAGCTCCTCGGATGAGAAGTGAAATGTGGGCGGGGCCATGCATGCTAATTTCCCCTGTGATGTAGAAGAGACTGGCTTTTTCTGCAGCTGATTCAGGTGATAGGCGTGTGCAGTTCGGAGAGACCGAGTGTTTCAGAAAGAACAAGAGTTATGCTGTTTGTCAGTGAGCTAGACTAAAGCAGGATGCTAATCCTAAGCAACACTTGTTTACACGTGAGAGTGAAACCCCAAAGCATCTGCTGTGTGAAAAAGATCAACCGTCTCGATTATTTAAAGGAGTCTGCTTTTAGTACCCAGAGCAGCAACTGATGAGTGAAGGAAGGTAAAGTCCCTCTCTTTGCTGCTTTAGGCGTCGTTTCATCTGCAGACAAAATCAGGTTTGCAGAACAGATCAGCAGCTCTGTCAGACAAACCAGAGAATAGTGCATCAAAGCTTGTGTTTGTTTTGCTCTAGATGACCTTCGGGTGGTCCAGCAGCGTGACACTGCTGTTTGATTTCTGGAATGTTCACAGCCCTGCAGGTGAGCCCCTCTGTCTGTCTGACAGACCTCTGCCAAAACACGTCTTGTTGTTTTACCAGGATTATTTATTTATTAGCAACACCTTTCTCTTGTAGCCGATATTCTGTTTTATACTTAACGTAATTCTGTATTCTCGTTCATCCTGTTCTTTTGTTGTGGTGAAGCAGTTTCCCATTCCTTCTATGAAAGGTGCTTTACAAATCAATGTTACGTCTACCTTCAAGCAGCTGAATTTTCTTTACCAATAAATGTTACGTCCACCCTCAAGCAGCTGCAGTTTCTTTACGAATAAATGTTACGTCCACCGTCAAGCAGCTGCATTTTCTTTACGAATAAATGTTACGTCCACCCTCAAGCAGCTGCAGTTTCTTTACGAATAAATGTTACGTCCACCCTCAAGCAGCTGCAGTTTCTTTACGAATAAATGTTACGTCCACCCTCAAGCAGCTGCATTTTCTTTACGAATAAATGTTACGTCCACCCTCTAGCAGCTGCATTTTCTTTACAAATAAATGTTACGTCCACCCTCAAGCAGCTGCATTTTCTTTACGAATAAATGTTACGTTCACCCTCAAGCAGCTGCATTTTCTTTACAAATGTTATGTCCACCGTCAAGCAGCTGCATTTTCTTTACGAATAAATGTTACGTCCACCCTCAAGCAGCTGCATTTTCTTTACGAATAAATGTTACGTCCACCCTCAAGCAGCTGCATTTTCTTTACAAATGTTATGTCCACCGTCAAGCAGCTGCATTTTCTTTACGAATAAATGTTACGTCCACCCTCAAGGAGCTGCATTTTCTTTACGAATAAATGTTACGTCCACCCTCAAGCAGCTGCATTTTATTTTTATTTTTCAAAAAAATCTTGATCAAGAGTTTTTCAGAGACTCTGAAGGTTTTTTGGGGGGGACTTTACTTTTTGAAATCTTTCACTTCAACAGATTACGAGAAGGTTTTATTCCTTTGGAAGAAAAGAACCAAAGTGTTGGGTGTGAAATTCGTGAGCTGAGCTACTTTTTAACTGAACATTATGTCTTAAATCTACTTTATCACAAAGGAGAGGAAGCAGAAGTAGTCAGTGTGGCGTCGCTCACTAACATAAAGCATTTTAACATAAAGAAATTAAAGATGGAAGAAGGAAGTTTGTTGTTGTCTTTGATATTTTAACCCTTAAAAGTTGATTTCTGTGAGTTACTTTAGCAAATGTTTGTTCCAGGCATGGTGCTGTCGGTGTTCATCGTGCTGCTGCTGACCGTCCTCTTTGAACTGCTTAAAGCCTGGAGGCTGTGGCTGGGGAGCGGCGTTCCGCTCCATCAGCCTGCCGACGCCGTCGCCTCCAGTCTCAGTGAGAGCTCCTCCGGGTTAGAAACCAGCCCCTCTGAGAGCTCACTGACCCCCATCGAGTCCCGGCCTTGGACCACAAACAAGTCAGAATTTTAGGATTTCATTTATTAAAACCATCATAGTGACATTTATTCTGAAAAGGAAATTTGTTGCAAATAATGAATTTGTCTGTTTAAAATCAGATTGAGGGTTTTAGGGTTTTTTGGGACATCGGCTGCATTTTAACTTTGGTTCCTGCAGCCTGTAATAAAAACTCAGTTAAATAACTAAAAAAAAAGATAAGATTAGCAGCAGCTGGAGGCCGATGCGCCTCTCAGGTCATGTGTCTAGCTAATGTTAAAGGTATGAGGACCGAAAATGAGTGAAGAAGCAGCCAAACTCTAAAAGATCTTCATAAACCCTGAAGTAGCTTTGACCCAGACCACATTTTATTAAAGGTCGGTAGAAATCACGATTATGAAGAAACATTTCCTCAGCACCTTTAAAAGTGTGGTTCACTCATTTAGTCAATGCATTAGCAGTGGTCTCTAGAAGGAATGGATGCCTTGCAGGCCGAACTCGGGGCCTAACAAAGCCCACAAACCTGTCCCAGCAGCAGTGTTGCTTTCGTTAGCGAAAACGCTGACGACTTGATTTAAGTGACGCCCCTTTTTTTCATAAGTAATATGAGATGCTGACGAGCTAAAAATAGCTCTTTGGTGACTAAAACATGACGAGGTGAATGGGATTTTTCGTTAACGAGCCGAGACTAGACTAGACGAGCCGAGACTAGACTAGACTAGACGAGCCGAGACTAGACTAGACTAGATGAGCCTAGACTAGACTAGACAAAAACTATGCATTTTAATCCAACAACATCACCATTTAAGCCCATCTAGATGTTCATGAGCAGGACTGGTTATTTATATTAATTCTGTGAAAACGCTGCAATCTGTGGAAAAACATTACTGCATTTAAGTAGGTGGACTTTTCCACAATATACATTTAAATTTCCTAAGATGGAGATCTGATAACTCATAAGAAATGAAACACATTTCTTTATTTCTACTTAAATATTGTGTAGAATACTCTTTATGCTCTCTAAGAGTCCATTCTGGTAAGGAAATAAAATCATATATTTATTTTGTGAAAATCTACAGCATGATGCGCAGTAGATAACATACACGATATTGTTATGATCTAAGTAAAAATATGATACCAGTCTGAGGGGTATTGTTTTACTAAATCTGGGCCAGCTGAGATTTTGCCCCATAGCCATAAAATAAATGATGTTGGTATGAAACTCACTCCAGCAGCTCAGAGTACACGTCTGGCCTATAAATGCACTTGTTAGAGAATAAAACTGTTTAGTGTTTTGTAAAATTCAAAACAAAAATCGAATAAAACTGAGATGCCCGCCAAAATCAACACTGCTCAGCAGGCCGAGTCTGCACCATCACAGCAGCCTCAGATACAGGATCTGGAGTCCTTTTTCTTGATATTTGGTCATCTCACCTCGGATTGGATAACAGCCTCACGACTCTACCACTAAACTGTAACGTGGATGTTTTATCTCTACAAATAAGACGAGCCTGGGGGAGTTCTGCCATGAGGTGAAGCTGCTAATGCTAAAGGTTAGCTTAAAGTAGCCAAGACAGCCGCTGCTGATAACCGGATGTTAAAAGGACAACAGCCTTCCCCGTCATGAGTCCATGAATGTAAGTGACAGGGTGACGTAGATCTGTCAGGCTTTTCTAATCCTAGAGTTTCACCGTCTGTTTTCTGTCAGAAGCTACTGCAGGAGATAGGTGTAGGAGACTATTTTCATGTTCACTCTGCATGAAAAACTCAGAGTGACCCATTAGAAACCGTCTCAGTCAACCTTTAAGCCATCAGTAGCTGAGCAGGCTTGTTTTAATTCACTGGTCTCCTCCTCCTCAGATGGACGCTGCATGTCCTCCAGACGGTCCTCCACATGCTGCAGGTGACCCTGGGCTACATGCTGATGCTCTGCGTCATGTCCTACAACTCTTGGATCTTCATCGGGGTCGTCGTGGGCGCTGCCCTCGGCTATTTTATCTCATTTCCTCTCGTAGAACGTATGTCCTGCTACGGCTCGCTCAAAGAGTGACGGGAAGACATGAGCAGAAGTTTTTATTTAGCTAAAAAGGCTCGCGTGGAAAATGAGCTGTAGGAGAGAAACCTGTGTGTGTGTAGGGTTTAGTTTATATAAACTTCATTTCCTACACTTTTACAACTCATGCCTTCAGTAATGTTTTAACAACAAATGTTGCTCAAAAATGTGTTTTTGCTGTTTAAAAATGAGCATTTTCTGTTCTGAAAGTGGGAATAATTCTTAAATCTAAAAGCTAATTTGCACTCAGATTTCCTGTCAGATGTTGAAACTGATGAGTCGTTCTTTTTTCCATCGGGAGACGTGTTCCTGCTTTTATCAGCTGACGCCAATAAAATGTTTGCTTAAAAAAACAATAAGAACATCTGATCAACATTTCTGTGCTTTTGTGACAAAATAAAGAACAAAAGCTGTTGAAATCGTTTTATTTCATTCTCAAATACAGTTTGTTGTTTTTGTAGGAGGAAAGGTCTACGGTTTGTTTTGCTGCACAACAATAAATAAAAGAAAACAGTGATCTTGAGTTTAAATCCTGGTTATTGTGTGTTTGTTAAATAATCATGGAGGGTATGATTATTAGTGTTAAACCTTCACATCACAGCGTGTTTTACTTTTACATAAATATAATTGGACCTTTGTACCAAACTACTTTGTTTAAAATGTTCCTTTTATAATAATTTAATGATTTTTTTGTACTTATTTACAATCAGTTTGCTTATTTTTCTCCCATTTTTAGTGAATAGACAATAAATCTTGTCAGCTGTCCTTAAAAACGAATCTTTTTACTTTCACACCAGAATAATGGTTTGACACGAAGACGAGCATTAAAGCCTAATAATTTATCATAAAAAAAAAACCTCTAGATGACAGGCAGAGAATAAAAACTAATGAACTGAATTAAAAAAACAATAAAGAAACTTTCAAAAAAAGTTTCCGGTAACTTTCCCCACAGATCAAACATTTCCCTTTTAAAACATCCTAAACTGATTGTGTTGAAACATGGAGGCCACTTGCAAAAATGAGAAGTGCTTTCAGAAACAACTCCGCACAAAAACACAAGCAGGAAAAAGATGTGGTTAGTTTGATTATAGCGCCCTCTGCTTCCACGTGGAGACAGGACAATGATCAAATGACCATAAATTAGACTCGGAGCAGGATTTAAAGTCATATTTGAGCTCTGGCTCGCTGAGCTGACAGATCCGCTCTTAGAGTAAAACAAAAGTTCATGCTGTGGTTTTTCTGTTGGCGTCAGAGAAGCATCTTCCTACATGAACATAGGTTCCACTGGCACAGCGTCAGCCATCTTGGCCTCTCCGTTAGGGCCGTTTTTGATTGGCTCAGACTCACTCTCATTTAGCCCCTCATTGGTCGGCGACTGGAAGCCGCTGTCGTTGCGTGATCCACAGTCCGTCGCCTGTGGTTGGGAATCGTTATCGGATCCTGCCGTCGATGCCTCGGCGGGCTGCTCGCCATCTTCATCCTGCACCGCCAGCTCCATTTCCTCGATGGCTTTCTGAATTGCAGCTTCCTCTTCAGTGACTCTCTCCTTCTGGCTTCCCATTAGCTCCCGTAGGATCGTCTGCGGGGACGACTTGTCTCGTACGGACCTCCTGGGGTTGTCCTCGACAATGGTGGTGACATGTGTGACCTGCTCCTGCACCCCGTCCTCCATGGTGATGGTGCCTGTGGTCATCTCTGTCCCACTGACTACATCAGCCTGCTTCTCCTCTGACTCTGGGAGCTCCACCTCCAGCATCGGATTGATCAGGTCCCTGATTTCATCCACACTGTCAGGGGACTTTGGATCCTCGGATGGACCCAACTCCTCCTCTGCCTCTTCATTTTTGGATTCAGGAATATCCTCCTCAGGGATGAGCTCAACCCCCGGGACCTCCAGGCAGGACTCATAGGGAAGAGGCAACCCTTCCAGCTGTATCATTGACACGACCTGCCTCCGTCTTCTCCCAATACCTACTCCTTCGGTACTGCTGCCCATGGACCCCACCACTTCATCACCTCCAAACTTTGTTGCCCAGTCCACCTGAGGAGTGTCTTCAAGAAGATGCAGGTTTGGGTCACTGTTGGTCAGAACCATGCTGTCTCTGTAGAGATTGTGTTTCCTCTGGACAGCCGCTTCCTTCACAGCTGAACACAACAAGAAGCAAACATGTTAGAAAACCCAATCACGGTACCACCACAGCTTAAACGGCATGAAGTTATCTAGTCCTCACCCATCATTGTGTCTTTTGTGACTGATTGCAGGACCACCTCCTCATACAGGTTTTCAACTAGAAGGAAACGGGAGAAATCCTCAAAGATCATCTCCTTGAAGCGAGGCAGCTCCTGGGGAGATGGAGGGAGGTGAGGGTCACAAACCTTTCAGCGTTCCAACACCAAGGTGCTTCACAGACAATAAAACTGATAAAACAAACCAATCACACTAAAACAGCAACACAAGTTATATGAAAAAGTATTAAAATACACATACTTTAGTGTAATGTTTAGAATGACCTAAAATAGCATTAAAACACATACTATAGTATCATATTTAGAATGACCTGAAATAGTAATAAAATACACATGATATAGTATAATGTTTAGAATGACCTGATATAATATTGAAATTCACATACTATAGTATAATGTTTAGAATGACCTAAAATAGTACACATGCTATAGTATACTGTTTAGAATGACCTAAAATAGCATTAAAAACACATACTAAAGTATCGTGTTTAGAATGACCTGAAATAGTAATAAAATACACATGCTATAGTATAATGTTTAGAATGACCTGTAATAGTAATAAAATACACATGCTATAGTATAATGTTTAGAATGACCTAAAATAGTAACAAAATACACATGCTATAGTATACTGTTTAGAATGACCTGAAATAGCATTAAAATACACATACTTTAGTATAATGTTTAGAATGACCCGAAATAGTAATAAAATACACATGCTATAGTATACTGTTTAGAATGACCTGAAATAGTATTAAAATACACATACTTTAGTATAATGTTTAGAATGACCTAAAATAGCATTAAAAACACATACTATAGTATCGTGTTTAGAATGACCTGAAATAGTAATAAAATACACATGCTATAGTATAATGTTTAGAATGACCTAAAATAGCATTAAAATACACATACTATAGTATAATGTTTAGAATGACTTAAAATAGCATTAAAATACACATACTATAGTATAATGTTTAGAATGACCTGATATAATATTGAAATTCACATACTATAGTATACTGTTTAGAATGACCTGAAATAGTAATAAAATACACATGCTATAGTATAATGTTTAGAATGACCTAAAATAGTAATAAAATATACATGCTATAGTATACTGTTTAGAATGACCTAAAATAGCATTAAAAACACATACTATAGTATCGTGTTTAGAATGACCTGAAATAGTAATAAAATACACATGCTATAGTATAATGTTTAGAATGACCTAAAATAGCATTAAAATACACATACTATTGTATAATGTTTAGAATGACCTGATATAATATTGAAATTCACATACTATAGTATACTGTTTAGAATGACCTGAAATAGTAATAAAATACACTTGCTATAGTATACTGTTTAGAATGACCTGAAATAGTAATAAAATACACATGCTATAGTATAATGTTTAGAATGACCTGAATTAGCATTAAAATACACATACTATAGTATAATGTTTAGAATGACCTGATATAATATTGAAATTCACATACTATAGTATACTGTTTAGAATGACCTGAAATAGTAATAAAATACACATGCTATAGTATACTGTTTAGAATGACCTAAAATAGTAATAAAATACACATGCTATAGTATACTTTTTAGAATGACCTGAAATAGTATTAAAATACACATACTTTAGTATAATGTTTAGAATGACCTGAAATCGTAATAAAATACACATGCTATAGTATACTGTTTAGAATGACCTGAAATAGTAATAAAATACACATGCTATAGTATAATGTTTAGAATGACCTAAAATAGTAATAAAATACACATGCTATAGTATACTGTTTAGAATGAGCTGAAATAGTATTAAAATACACATACTTTAGTATAATGTTTAGAATGACCTGAAATAGTAATAAAATACACATGCTATAGTATACTGTTTAGAATGACCTGAAATAGTATTAAAATACACATACTTTAGTATAATGTTTAGAATGACCTAAAATAGCATTAAAAACAAATACTATAGTATCGTGTTTAGAATGACCTGAAATAGTAATAAAATACACATGCTATAGTATAATGTTTAGAATGACCTTTAATAGTATTAAAATACACATACTATAGTATAATGTTTAGAATTCCCTAAAATAGTAATAAAATACACATGCTATAGTATACTGGTTAGAATGACCTGAAATAGCGTTAAAATACACATACTATAGTATAATGTTTAGAATGACCTGATATAATATTGAAATTCACATACTATAGTATACTGTTTAGAATGACCTGAAATAGTAATAAACTACACATGCTATAGTATACTGTTTAGAATTACCTGAAATAGCATTTAAATACACATACTTTAGTATAATGTTTAAAATGACCTGAAATAGTAATAAAATACACATGCTATAGTATACTGTTTAGAATGACCTGAAATAGCATTAAAATACACATACTTTAGTATAATGTTTAGAATGACCTAAAATAGCATTAAAACACATACTAAAGTATCGTGTTTAGAATGACCTGATATAATATTGAAATTCACATACTATAGTATACTGTTTAGAATGACCTGAAATAGTAATAAAATACACATGCTATAGTATACTGTTTAGAATTCCCTAAAATAGTAATAAAATACACATGCTATAGTATACTGTTTAGAATGACCTGAAATAGCATTAAAATACACATACTTTAGTATCATGTTTAGAATGACCTAAAATAGCATTAAAACACATACTAAAGTATCGTGTTTAGAATGACCTGATATAATATTGAAATTCACATACTATAGTATACTGTTTAGAATGACCTGAAATAGTAATAAAATACACATGCTATAGTATACAGTTTAGAATTCCCTAAAATAGTAATAAAATACACATGCTATAGTATACAGTTTAGAATGACCTGAAATAGTAATAAAATACACATACTTTAGTATAATGTTTAGAATGACCTGAAATAGTAATAAAATACACATGCTATAGTATACTGTTTAGAATGACCTGAAATAGCATTAAAATACACATACTTTAGTATAATGTTTAGAATGACCTGAAATAGTAATAAAATACACATGCTATAGTAAAATGTTTTAGAATGACCTAAAATAGTAATAAAATACACATGCTATAGTATACTGGTTAGAATGACCTGAAATAGCATTAAAATACACATACCATAGTATAATGTTTAGAATGACCTGATATAATATTGAAATTCACATACTATAGTATACTGTTTAGAATGACCTGAAATAGTAATAAAATACACATGCTATAGTATACTGTTTAGAATGACCTGAAATAGTAATACAATACACATGCTATAGTATAATGTTTAGAATGACCTAAAATAGTACACATGCTATAGTATACTGTTTAGAATGACCTAAAATAGCATTAAAAACACATACTATAGTATCGTGTTTAGAATGACCTGAAATAGTAATAAAATACACATGCTATAGTATACTGTTTAGAATGACCTGAAATAGCATTAAAATACACAGACTTTAGTATAATGTTTAGAATGACCCGAAATAGTAATAAAATACACATGCTATAGTATACTGTTTAGAATGACCTGAAATAGTATTAAAATACACATACTTTAGTATAATGTTTAGAATGACCTAAAATAGCATTAAAAACACATACTATAGTATCGTGTTTAGAATGACCTGAAATAGTAATAAAATACACATGCTATAGTATAATGTTTAGAATGACCTAAAATAGCATTAAAATACACATACTATAGTATAATGTTTAGAATGACTTAAAATAGCATTAAAATACACATACTATAGTATAATGTTTAGAATGACCTGATATAATATTGAAATTCACATACTATAGTATACTGTTTAGACTGACCTGAAATAGTAATAAAATACACATGCTATAGTATAATGTTTAGAATGACCTAAAATAGTAATAAAATATACATGCTATAGTATACTGTTTAGAATGACCTAAAATAGCATTAAAACACATACTAAAGTATCGTGTTTAGAATGACCTGATATAATATTGAAATTCACATACTATAGTATACTGTTTAGAATGACCTGAAATAGTAATAAAATACACATGCTATAGTATACTGTTTAGAATTCCCTTAAATAGTAATAAAATACACATGCTATAGTATACTGTTTAGAATGACCTGAAATAGTAATAAAATACACATACTTTAGTATAATGTTTAGAATGACCTGAAATAGTAATAAAATACACATGCTATAGTATACTGTTTAGAATGACCTGAAATAGCATTAAAATACACATACTTTAGTATAATGTTTAGAATGACCTGAAATAGTAATAAAATACACATGCTATAGTAAAATGTTTTAGAATGACCTAAAATAGTAATAAAATACACATGCTATAGTATACTGGTTAGAATGACCTGAAATAGCATTAAAATACACATACCATAGTATAATGTTTAGAATGACCTGATATAATATTGAAATTCACATACTATAGTATACTGTTTAGAATGACCTGAAATAGTAATAAAATACACATGCTATAGTATACTGTTTAGAATGAGCTGAAATAGTAATACAATACACATGCTATAGTATAATGTTTAGAATGACCTAAAATAGTACACATGCTATAGTATACTGTTTAGAATGACCTAAAATAGCATTAAAAACACATACTATAGTATCGTGTTTAGAATGACCTGAAATAGTAATAAAATACACATGCTATAGTATACTGTTTAGAATGACCTGAAATAGCATTAAAATACACATACTTTAGTATAATGTTTAGAATGACCCGAAATAGTAATAAAATACACATGCTATAGTATACTGTTTAGAATGACCTGAAATAGTATTAAAATACACATACTTTAGTATAATGTTTAGAATGACCTAAAATAGCATTAAAAACACATACTATAGTATCGTGTTTAGAATGACCTGAAATAGTAATAAAATACACATGCTATAGTATAATGTTTAGAATGACCTAAAATAGCATTAAAATACACATACTATAGTATAATGTTTAGAATGACTTAAAATAGCATTAAAATACACATACTATAGTATAATGTTTAGAATGACCTGATATAATATTGAAATTCACATACTATAGTATACTGTTTAG